TTTTTTTTGCACCGATTTTAGATGGTTTAAAAATCCCAAAATCGATGTAGTGTAATTTTGACCAATTCTCTCAATCCAAAAGATAGACGGGTTTTGATCGTTTCTTATATTCTCTTTTAATTATACTCTTTATAAAATAATTATTTTCAATTAACATATTTTTCTTCAAAATTAACTTGTAAATAAAAATTTATTAACTAAAAAATTTATATAAAAAAATAAAAATAAAAATACTTAATAAGTAAAATATTTCTTATAACGTAAGAAAATTTTCAAAATAATTAAAATATTACTTATAAGTAAAAAGTCACTTTTTATGTAAAAAATTGTTTGTAAAATAAAAATACTACTGATAAGATAAAAATCCACTTATAAAATATAAAAAGTTACTTATTAGTAAGAAAAATCACTTAAAATTATTTAAAAGTATAAAATAACTTATAATTGTAAGTTAAATATTAACTTATATGTAAAAAAAATACATATAATCAAAATATCACTTATGAGGTAAAAAAATTTATATAAGGAACAATAAACTAAAAATTTTACAAAGTGACATATGTGTAATTTTATTCTTTTAAAAATTTTTTAGGACTGGTGAATAATAATCTCTCAATCATAGGTTGGATAATTTTAAAAATCGCAGCTAAAACCATTCAAAATCGATCCGCTCATAAACGCTCAAAATCTGTAATCGGTACTCCGAAACTCCCAAGTAGACCCAAAAGCTTCTTAATTATTGAAAGCTTCGAATTTTGAAATTTACATATCTGATATTTGATATTTTTATCTCTTTTTTTTTTTTTTTCATATGTAACATAAGAAAGAATTTAAAGATTACGATCCATTTTTCATTTAGTGATATTAAATATATGAATAGTTAAAAAATTAACTTATCAAAGAAAACAGCATCAAGAAATAAACTAATAAAAATTAAAAATAATCATGATTGTTAAACCCTAGATCCGAATCTTTATTTTAAAAGTGAAGTATTCTTTATTTTAAAGAGCCAAACCTTAAAATTTAGTTCCAAGAGATTTTTTATTTTGATATTTTAAAGTAGATAGTGAATTTAACTCTCAATATTTAGAGAGCCAAATACACTTTATATTTGTGTTTTATCGAGGTTTCATTTAACTAACATTGCAAGTTCAATACTTTACAATTTAAATTATTAATATTATATAATTTTTTTAGCTAATGAAATCTAAAAATTCATATATTAATTCAAAATGAGGCAAAAAATAAATGAATGTTGGAAAAGCAAATATAAAGAGTTTGTTAAAAAAAGAAAATGAAGAGCAAAACATAAAGAATTTATTAGAGTATTTAAAACATTACACTCTTTAAATTTAAAAATAATCTCTATTATGGTCAAGATGCTCTTTAATTATAAGAGTAATGCAATTCATCTTCATTGGGGATGAAAATACAGTCTATGTGGCGTTAATGTGGCATTAAATGATAGGTTAATTTCACATTTCATTTAACGTATCACTTAAAACCACATAAACTGTATTTTCTTCCCTACTGAGGATGCATAACATTACTCTAAAAATAAAGATGGACATGATAAGCAAAATTTATTACTTATTTTTTCATTATAAAGTTGTGTTTTCACCAAATTCGAGTCTTGACATCGCCATTAAATGTGGTTTTTGACTTTGGTGTCTGTGGGAGTAGTTGGGTCTACGATAATTTTTCCCTAATCGTCTTCGACCACGTCTTATTGTTAAGAGAACTGATTTGAGTGGCTAAAACTTGTGAAAGTGAATGTCATATGGTTTCCACAATAAACTTCTACATAGAACATAGATATATTAGAGCTGTGTTATCTAACATCGCTGATATTACAATATTAATCTACACAAATTTAGATGGCATTAAATAAGATGTATAATTAAATGAATTGTTTTATTCTATTTTCTATTAAGTCTATGATGTAGTGTTACCTAAAATAGTATTATTCTGCCTCTGTTTGACAATCATTAAACTAAAATCTTTTTTTTTTTTTCAAATTTATTTCAATCACACATTCTCACAATAAAATATTTTGCACGTAATTTTTTTTTTTTTTTTACTTTTTAACCACACATTATCCAAAAAATCATTATTTCAAAATTTATATTTTTCTGAAAATTCTTTTTAGAGGTTTTTCGACATGGCGCATGTAACGACCCAATTTTTTTTTTTAATCAGAAATCGCTACCAAAATTTTCTTTTACAATTGTAATAACTAATCCTTAAATTGAATGTGCATGGAGACCCTGAACAATCTGCCAAAATACTAACTGTTTGGTTAAAACACCACTTAGCATGTGCAAAATTAAATGCTTGTATATTAATTTATTATGATCTTTACAAAATCATGATAGTGAAACATCATTTATTTTCTCTCTCTTCAGTGAGTGGCACATGGCCTCGAAATTCACCCAACTTNACATCATTTATTTTCTCTCTCTTCAGTGAGTGGCACATGGCCTCGAAATTCACCCAACTTTATATCGTTCTGGCATATTGCATTTCTTAGACATGAATAGAAACTTTAAGGAACCGTTTGATTGCAAATGTGGAAAATGAGTTGAAAAAAATATTTTACAAGAAATTAAATTGTCTAAAAATTATTTTATTGAAAATTATAATTAATTGTGTTTGATTAGTATAATTTTCCACCTGAAAAATGTTGAAAGTTTGGTATTCGTTTGATTTCATTTTTCATGAAAATTGTTCACTAAATTGATGATTATTTCTACCATTGGGTCTAGAATTTGTTTTTACCATACTGAATACCATTCGCTTGGCTTTATTTTGCATGAAAATTGTCAATAAAAATGAAATTTTTTTTTACTATTGTGTCTAAAACATTTTTTCAATTGCAAAAAAAAAAAAAAAGCTAGAAAATCTTTTACCACCAAAAAGGC